GTTAATAGTATTAAGACCCTTTGAGAGTACTATAAGACTAAATTCTACCGCAATTAATCTATATCACATTTCTAACCTATCATACACTATTTACTAAGCAAATTTCGGTTGTAAATTAAACTTAAACAAATGGTCTGTTTTGTACTTTTATTAGGTAAAAAGTAATTGATTTGTTATTGAGTAAATGGTGAAAAAGATGAATAGATCTAAATGAATAGACTGAGTAATAAAATTTTAAGGAAAATAATGATGGAAAGATGTAAGAAAAAGAAAAAAGGAATACTGACATTGAAGCGAGCGAATTCAAGCTTGAGATGTTTGAGGAAATTATCATGGCATTTCTCAAAAGCTCTTTCTTCATCTTCCACAAAGAAACTTTTGCTTGCTTTCCTAAACAATTTTCTATGTTCCTTTTGCGACTTCCCCAGTGTACTTATCAATGCTTGCTCATCAACTCCCATTCCTAAGCAAATTTTTCATATATAATTGTAGATCAATCTCACAATCATTTCTTGGCTTCAAACTTTGTCATAAAAATAATTTAACATTTACAGATATATGGAACTAAGTTTTATTTATAATTACCTGCGATTGCTTCAGAGAGACCTTCGAAATCGATAGGAAGAGCCATTTTGTTTCTTGTAGTTTTAGTTGTTGTTTTTCTGCTTTGCTTTGGTTTATGATGAAAGCTATGGAAGATGGACAAAGCGTTTTATATGATGCAGATTAAGAAGGGTAATGTTGTGGTTTATGAAGAGAGACAAGGGTGTTTTCGGTATTTGGACATCGATGTTTTAGTTAAGAAAAATTAGTGTTCAGATTTAAGACAAACGCTAAGGGCATTATTGCAACAAGAAGTAACGCCCACGAAATTTATTGCATGTTTGTTTTGTTTTTTGGTCAACAAAATGGAGTAATATGGTTTTATCATTTTAATTGCATCATCTATTAACAACTGTTTCATAAAAAAAGTCCAAAGGAATAACACTTCACTAGTTCAAGACAAATTAAAAGTAATTTATTAATGGGATTTATTGAGTTTGACCATTACTTTTAAGTGTCATTAATAAATACAAAATGGGGGTTTCTGGAAATTAATAAAAGAAAGAAGAGTTTTTACAGTTTTCAAAGTTGTATTATCCTGCCAACCGGAGGTGTTCTAATTTTTAATTTTA